GCCTAAAGTTCTTTAATGACATCTACACAATTGGAATTTATATCAACCCAGAGTTCCTACTCTGTTACTAAGATACTTCTAGGCTATCCCTGAAAAAGAATTTTAGGAAAATATGAAACAAATATTTCTCTCATCTGTTTGGTAAGTCATTTGGTTTAACAGAAATAACTAATCATATTTGAAGTAGAAATATGATTTTGTGTTTTAGTCTCCTGCCTCTTCTGCTCCATTCTTATACCTGCAACCTTCTGAGGTTATTTATCAACCAGTGGAAATTGCACAAGATGGTGGATTTGTTCCTCCTCCACTGTCTCTTATGGAAGCTTCAGTTCCAGAGGTATGTATTGGTCTTAAAATAACTGATCTATAACTACCTCATCTTAACATTTTTTTTCTCTTTTTAAAATTTGTTTAAGACCCACATTGAAACTGCTTCATCTTATGTTTTCTTTGATTTATTCACATCTCTTCCCCTTTTTTATATCTAAGAATGCTTCATCTTAAGTCTTCTTCACAAACTAGTTGTGAACCATTCCCCAAATCAACTGTTCACTCCATTAGGCTAATTTTTGACTCAAGCTCTTTGAAATAGTAAAATACCAAATGCTTTGCCCTCTTTTTTTGTCTGTCAATCTGTATTATTACTTACATTCTGTCAGTTAAAAGCATATAATTAAGCCAAAAAAAGAAAAACATCTTTAAAAAATCCTTCCTTTAAAAATGTAAATTAAATTTATAACTACAAATTTTAAATATCATCTTCAGTGTCTTTAAATTATATTTCTGATCCATTACAAATAGCATCTTCACCATCTGTGTGCCAGAAACTGTGCATAGTATGTTTAAAATCAGTGTTATGAAAAGATTAGGAAATTAGCACTCACCTCCCAATTTGAATGCATTGTTTGTTTTTATACTGCTAAGGTTTATAATATTATAATTTTCTTCTGAAACAATAATTTCAACAGTTGGATCTTACTAGGATTTCTTCATTCTTTGTCTCACCCCTCCATTTATTTTTTTTGTGGTTGCTTTTTTTTTTCCCCAGCTTTACTAAAGTGTAATTGACGAAAATGGTATATACAGTATACAACATGTTTTGATATATGTATACATTGTGAAATGATTACCCAAGCTAATCCATCAGTTCACATGGTTATCTTTTTTTATTTGTGGAGAGAACATTTAAGGTGTACTCTCTTAGCAATTTTCAAGTATATATCACTATTAACTGTAGTTATCATGCTGTACAGTAGATCTCCAGAACATACTCATTCTGTCTAACTCAATCTCTGTACCAACATCTCCCATCCCCCACCCCAGCCCCTGGCAATCATCATTCTGCCCTCTGCTTCTACGAATACAGCTTATTCAGATTCCACATATAAGTGAGATCTTGCCATATTTGTCTTTCTGTGCCTGACTTATTTCACTAAGCATAATGTACTCCAGGTTCATCCATGTTGTCTCAAATAACAGGATTTTCTTCTTTTTAAGGCTATATAGTGTTCCATT